ACTGTCCCCGGGTACAGTCTGTCAACGCTGCCACTCAGATGCCACTTGGATGCCCTCCTGCACGTTCCATGTGGCACCGTCACTCCTGCTTAGTGTGGCATATACATTCCCTTCCCTTGGGCCCCGCCAGTCCTTGGCGATGGCCTCAACAGGTAACAAGCAGAGGAAGTGACTATGTAACTTCTGGGGCTAAATCATAAAAATGCCACTTTGTTTTCTTTTTTCTGGTACCAGGATTGAACTCGGGGACACTCGATCACTGAGCCACATCCCCAGCCTCATTTTTGTATTTTACTTAGAGACACGGTCTCCCTGAGTTGCTAAGTTGTCGAGGCTGGCTCTGAAGTCTCCATCCTCCTGCCTCAGCCTCCTGACCCACTGGGATTACAGGGGTGAGCCACATCCCCAGCCCCCACTTTCTTTTCTTGTGACACTTTTTTTTTGGTTGACCTTGGGAACTTTAACACTGGGCTGAATCCCCAGTCTTCTTTTATTTTTGTGGTACTAAGGGTTGAACCCAGGGCCTTGCACATGTGAGGAAAGCCCTCTATCACAAAGCTACATCCCCATCCCCTTTTTATTTTTGGAGACAAAAAGGGCTTCACTAAGTGGTCCAGATGGGCCTCAAACTTGTGATCCTCCCGCCTTGGCCTCCTGACTCTGGCATGCAGCTGCTGTGCTGTGGAGAAGCCCAGTCCACGTGGAGAGGCCCTGTATAGGCAGGCAGGTGTTCCCATGAGAACATCAACCCCAGACTTAGAAGGGAGTCTTGCCCATCACTCCAGTTCCAGCCACTGTCACTGCGACCATGAGGGACCCGAGACTTACCTAACTCAGCTCCTGGAACTGCAAGATGGTAATTGGTTTAAAAGTGATTTTCTTTTCTTGCTGGGTGCAGTGACGGACACCTGTCATCCCAGCAACTTGGGAGGCTCAGGCAGGAGGATTGCAAGATGGAGGCCAGCCTCAGCAACTTACCAAGGCCCTAAGCAACTCAGCGAGACCCTAACTCGAAACACAGAAAAGTTCTGGGGAATGTGGCTCAGCGGTTAAGCACCCATCACCCATCACCCAATGAGACGCACAAGGGGCCCTGCTTTTGAAGAGGCTCCAAACGAGGCCCAGATGTCCTGGAAGACCAGGACAGGACTGAAGGCGGAAGGAAAGAGACATGAGACTGAGATCCCTAGCACTTCACCTCCAGATTAGGGACTGCCCACCCTCCACCTGGCAGGGAGCGGGGTTATTCTCTGGAAAGAAAAACTACAAGAGGCTGGGGACTCAGATGCAGGCCTGGCTGAGAGGAGGGGGACAAGACACGTCACAGAAAACAGGACAGCTGGCGTCCACGTGCTCACCAGGAGAACGCTTCTCCCCACCTGCCAGCCCTCAAGATTGAGTTGCTAGTTACACAACATTTCAAAACAAGGAGCATCCTTCAGAACCACCCGTGTTCTAAAAACAGGGCCAAGTGCAGATGCATCTTGCCGAAACAGACCAGGATGACCCTGCCCAGGACAACTGCAAGGAACATTCTTCCAGGTGCAGGAAGCCCCCAGCTTAAAGGGGCCTGAGTCTCAGAGAAGGCAACTCAGACAGGAATAGGGAATGCACTCCTCCCAGGTCCCTGTGCTCCAGAGCCACCTGGCCACCCCAGGGACATGAGTCTCTCTGAGCCCTCTGCAAGTGGCCTGATGGGACTGACTTGCACAGAGACACGGACGTGGGCAGAACAGGGCTTTCTTCCTCAGAGTCCTCGAGGACAGAAATGACTATTAATAAATGTTCCGCTGTTTGCTGAGCACGTGACTTCGTGTCAGTCACCCTCCCTGCTCAGGCCTCGGCCTCTTCAGCTGTAAAAACAGGATAATGCCGACTACTTCGTGAGATTACAGCAAGATTAAACGGGATCATGGGTAAGTGTCAGGAATGTGCAATCCGGGACCACAGCTTCCGCCTGCCCCCATTCCAGTCTCAAGAAAAAAAAAATCAAAGGGTTGACAGCAACTGTGTAAGGTTTAAATGTTTATTTCACAAGTGGGAAATAATTATATAAGCGATCCAAAGAGAAGTCTGAGAAAATGGTCACCCTAGATAAGAAAGCATGAACTTTTACAGGAGATGGGATAAAGTCCTTATACGTGGTCATTACAAAGGCAACGATTAAGCCTTCCCCATCTAGGATACAAAAGTCAGCAATTAATTTATCTTGAGAAAGGAAAAGCATCGTTTATTAGTTTTCTTAACATCAGATCTCTGCGCAATAATTTGAAAAATATTGTGCATCTACAACTATTGTTTAATTAAAATTTGATTGTCATGGAGTCAACATATATTATTTCAATTTCAATGCACAATAATGTTGCATGGTAAACAGGCATGTTCACTGTGCTAGGTAAAAAATGAAACTGTGATACTTCCTGCTCTCAAGTTCACAGGGAAAAACCAATCAATTATTGATCACGGAACAGACTGAAAGAGACCTGCCCTGGGGACAGCTGGGGCAGATGAGTGTCACCCACAGAGCTCTGTGCAAGGAGCCAGAGCTCACATTCTAGCTCGAGAACCTGTTTTTTGCCGAGTTCCTCTGTAAATATAGGGACAATATAAATATTGTCCGTTTGTCACACACTGCTGCTAGGAAAAGCACTCATAGCCCCTCCTTTCCACTGTGCACCAGGTCTACGTGAGGGCAGGGACAAAGGGAACAGCACATCCCCATCCGGGGCTCACGGTGTGGGCAGGTGCAGCTAGATGCATGATCACCCCCCACCCCCAGCTCCTGTCCCTGTAAATAAACAATCTCTGGGTGGCGGTTTGTTTTGTCACACATGTGTGCAATGAAATCAGCAGTGCAGGCCTGGAGAGCACAGAATTACCCGTGATGCTCAGCAAAGTGCTGAAGCCAGGCCCTGCTTCAGAACCCCGGGGACCTGGCAATTCAGAGGGGCACCCAGTCAAGAGTCCCTTAAAGGCTGGTCAAGCAATGTTAAAAGTACTGGAAATGCAGATGCTTCTAATGAGCTCAGGAAAAGGCAAATGCAGCCAGCACAATCCAACGTGCATTTTTTGTGTGCCTACAAAGCCTATTAAGAATTATAAAGCCAATTAAAGCATTAGCCCAGTGCAGCCCTAAGGGAGCACACAGCCCCTGGGTGCATGCACACGTGCATCTGTCTGCAAGGAAAGATGGCCAAGTCAATCAAGGTTGTTATGAGCCCTACCTGAACGCTACTGCAAATGTGGCAATCAGGGGAGCTGATTCACTGCAAATTTAACACCATACGGGTACACCAGGGCCCTGGCTTTACTGAGGCATCTACAACCCTGGGCGGGTCATGGAACCTCTCTGTACAAGTTCCTGCACCTCAGGAGAATGCATGTTTATAGAGTGCTTCATTCAGAAAGCTAGAGTATCAAGTGAAAAGATTAGAAAATCATAAATCATTGAAACATCCATTACTGTTTAAAAAAAACACCCTAGGTTCCTCTGATAACCTGTTATGGATTTTCACACATCTCTAGGCCTACTCAGCATTAAATTTTTATTTTTGGAAAAAGTGCACAAAGCAGTCCCTGTCTACAAGGACTTCCCATGCAAATATTGTGTTACCTTAGGTACAACATTTACCCTTTTGGGTTCTCACCCACTTCCCTGATAAAATAGGAAACATCTCCCTGCCAGAGAGGATTTCCCCGGATTCTCTCCAGGCCCCTTCCAGCTCCATGGAGTGTGGGTCACCTCGATATTAGGAATACAGCTCTTGGGCTGGGGATGTGGCTCAAGCGGTAGCGCGCTCGCCTGGCATGCGCGGGGCGCTGGGTTCCATCCTCAGCACCACATAAAAGCAAAATAAAAGATTTGTGTCCACTGAAAACTGAAAAATAAATATTAAAAAATTCTCTTTTTAAAAAAAAACAAAAAAACAAAGGGATACAGCTCTTTCCTGCACCTTGCAAGGTGACAACAGAGTGGAAAGGAAAACAGGTGTGTTGAAAACACCTCCTACCAAAGAGAAACATTTTAAGATAGAAATATTTTAAAGTATTTTAGGATCATGGACAAAAATCAAAGTAGGAATCACCGGGCAGAGGTACTGTTTAAGAACAGTCATCTTGGAGTATTTATTCCTAATAAAAAAAGGGGAGGAAATCGATCAGGACCTGCAGCCCGCAGAAGCATGGTGATCCAGGCAAGGGGAGACTGGACACTCGGGGACATGGGGGACAAGTGCCCGCGTCTTCCCAAGCCAGTCAAAGTTGTGACCTACAAGAGCCAAGCCCAAACCCAAGCCCCACGACCCGAGAGGCGGCAGATCGCGACATTTTCCTTGGGCAGCGTCGCCGCTGTTGTCAAAGCTGCTCTGCGCACACCCTCCCCCTTTCCTGGGTCCCGATCGCGCAGGGAGGGGCGGGGCGCGCACTGCGCAGGCTCGGCCGCGAGGTTCGCTTTAAAAAAACAAGAAAAAAAAAAACCCCACGCAGGTGCGGGGCGTTGCCCACGAGGCCTGGCTCGGGCACCACGGGCGCGCTCTGGGCCGGGCACCTTTAAATCCCCACAAAAGACGCGGGCACCGAGCGAGGCCCAGAGCGCGCCCCGTCCACCCGGGACGCCCCTCCGGCCGCCCGCCTCCGCGGACTCGGCCGCGCCACTCGGGGCCCCGCGGCTCCCACCAGGGCCGCCCGGAGAGCCCCGCGGGGCGCCCGGGGGCGGCGATGCCAGGGAGCGCGGTCCTCGCCCGGCCGCCCAACGGCGCGCGGCGGCCGCGGGCTCCTCCCCTGACCGGCCCGGGACCCCGGGCGGCCGCGCGGTCTGAGCGGCAGGCTCCCCGGCCGCCCGCCGCCGCCGAGCCCGGGAGGAGCCGCCGGGGCCCGCCGCTCGCGGGCCGGATGGACCGGGCGCCGGCCGCGGCGTTCCGGTGCGCGCGCGCGCCTCAGCCAATCGCGTGCTCGCCCGCCCCCCGCCGCCGCGGCGAGGCTGGCGCTGGGAAGAGGAAGAAGAACATTCGCCCTCCTCCTACCAGCGCGCGGGCGGCGGCGGCGGCGGCACCGGGGTCACGAACTCTGACCTTTCACTGACAAAAACAATAACAAACCCCCCCGGCCCCGCGACCCCGGCGGCGCCCTCGGGCCCGCCCCCGCCGCCCCCGCTCCCACCGCGGCGTCTCGTCTCTCCCGCCTGCTGCCCCGCGAGCCCGCGGCCCCCGGGCTCCCGCCATCCGCCGACGCCGGGAGCCGGGCCTCCCCGCGCCCTGCCCTCCGCGCCGGGGGCCGCCCGCCGCAGACACGGGACCTGCTTCGAGGCCGCTTTGGCGCCCCATCCTGAGGTAAAACTGAACGGAGGGTCGGGGCGGGCTCGGGCCGGCGGCGGAGGGGGCGGGCCTGGCGCGCGGACATGGAGGCGCCGCGGCGGCGGCGGCGGCGGCTGCTGAACTCGACCCTTTTACCTTTGCCACGGGGCGGTGGCGGCGGCGGCGGCGCCCGCCGCTTTGCATAGTGGGCCGGGCCGCTCCCCTCCCTTCCCCGCCCGCGGCCGAGCGGAGCGAGCGGGCTCCCCCTGACCGGCCCGGCCGGCGCGAGGGTGGGGGCGGAGGGGGAATGGCCGCGGCCCCGCCTCACAGTTGGCCCTCCGCCAGCGCCGCCATTTTGTTCCCGATGGAGACAGCTCCGGCTGGGCCGGGCTCCCCTCCTCCTCCTCCTCTTCCTCCATCTCTCCTCCTCCTCCCTGCAGTCCCTCCTTCCCTCGCTCCCCGGCTCTTCGCCCCTCCGCTTCCCGCCTGCAGTTGGCGGTCGCCGCGGCCCAACCGCCGTTTTTTATGAACGGGAGGGTGGAGGAAAAGGAGGGAGGCGGGTGCGGGCCGCGACCTCCTGAGTGACAGCGGGGTTGACCTATGGGTGCTCCGATAGGAGGGCCGGGGCTGCGGCGCCGCCCCCCCGAGGCTCTGATGATTGGCTCTGGCGGGAGAGGGCGTTCCCCCGGGGGGCGCGGGCGCCCTGGCGGGGCGGGAGCAGAGGCCGGGGCGCGGCGTGAGGCCCGGGCGGCGGGGGCGGGGCCGGGGGCGGGGCGCCGGGGGGCGCGGCCGGGGCGGGGCGGGGCGGGGAGCGCGTCGTCCCTGTGCCCGGAACGCGTCGCTCGCGGGTGGCGGGGAACAATAGTAGAAAAGGTGATGAAGCGTCTGGAGTCCACGGCGCGGCCTCGTGGGGACAGCGTTTCCGAAGCCGGACACCTGTCGGGGCTCCTGCGCGGGCTTTGGGCCCTGCCCTGGGCGAATCCGCTGTCCGAGGCTCAGTTTGGTGGTCGGTCCAGCGGGGAGAATGGGCGCGCTTGACCGGCCGGACCCCACCGCCCTTCCCAGGTTGGTTTGCGGGGCTCGAGGGCTGCAGAGTGGCCGTGTTGTCCCCAGCCGCCCGGAGTGGGGCGCGTGGGGCTGGGGAGGCGAGTGCGGGGCGCCGGGCTCCGCGGGCTCGGGATAGCGGGCAGCGAAGTTCTGGGCGCCACCCGCAGGACCGCCGGTCGGGTGGGAGGACAGTTAGACGAACACACCCCCAGGGGACCCGGAGGAGGAGCTGGAGGCCCGGGCACTGGCTCAGCTTGCACCGTGAGGGTGCCCGGTTCCAATGGAGGCGCCCGGTGGGTCGCCAGCCACAGGAGCTGCGGGGCCTTGGAGGGCCGGCCAGGCCTGCTGGAAGGTGCTTGGAGATAGGTCGTTGTCCTGTGATCCCCCTCTACCCCAGCCAGAGGCTGTGACTGTCGCCGCCGGGTAATGCAGAACGTCTGCAGTTTGACAATAAGAGACAGGGAAAGTGCGGCGAGTCCCTAGGAAGTCACTTTACCTCGGGTTCACATCCTTTGCCAGCCCCCTCTGTCCGTCTTCAGTTGGGCAGATATTTGCTGAGCCCCACTCATCCCCCAGGCAGGGGGATACAGAGGTGGCTAAGACGATCCCCACGTATGGATAACATGGTCCCGTGTATGAATTGCCACCGTCTCTGACAGTCGCCTCGTGTAGGTACAGATGCAAAGTCGGCTTTAGGCAAAACTAAGTGTTGGGGCTGACAGCTCAACACTTACTAGCAGTGTGGTTGCGCCTAGAGGTTACTTTTGAGCCTCAGTGTCCTTGTCTGAACAATAATAAGACATTCTGTCTGGAATTGAGGATTAAATGAGTTGATGTAAGTGGAGAGCTCAGAAAAGTGCCTGAAACATAGTTAAAACTCAGTTAAAAAGTTGGAGGTGGTTGTCAGGAAGCAGTGGTTGACTTTATAGACCTTGGACTAGTTAAGGGATATCAGCAATGAAATTTATAGGTGGTGTGGTGTTGGAGCAGACGCACTGGTCGGAACACTGAGATTGGATGCTTTTGTTCAGCTAGGTGTGGCATCAAGTTCAAGTTTATATTGAAAACAAAGTATGGGACAAAATAGTGCTAACAAATTAGGGAGTACTTCACAGGACTCTTAGGAGCCTAGCCTAATTCAGAACCCATGCAATGTAGAGGCCTTCCCGTATTCCTTTGCTCCAGACACCCTGGCCTACCTTCTGCTTCCTCGACAGGGTGGCTGACCTTCTGCCCTACCCTCTGACCTGCAGGGCCTTCACCGTGAAATACTCAGAAGCCTGCCCCTCTGGTTCTTTCCTGGACTCCTTGTCTTGCGGATCTCTGCTTAAGCAGAAAAGCCTCCCCTACAGGGAAGTCCTCCCTGATTGCCACTGCCAGTCTAGATCAGATCTTTTGCTTTATATTGTGTCCCTTTCTTTGTAGCCTCTATCTCACTTTGTCATTACACACTCCATGATGTGATTGTTTAATGTCTTCTTAGGTTTAATGCCTTCTGACCACACTCTAAGCTTTGAGAGGAGGAGTACCTGAAGGAGTCACCTTTACCTATCCAGCACTTAGGAAATCCCTGGCACGTTTGGTTAATTTATGATGTCACCAATAACTAAGCTGCTGCCTGTTAAAGGGGACCTTTTACCTTTTTATGTGCTATTTCAATTAGCACTCCCAGCAATAAAATGTCTCTCAGGGTATTTGGATGCATTTAAGAAGTGGTTCTTGACTCATAGGCCACCACTCAGAGATGTCATTACAGATGAGATGACCCATTCAAATCCTTTTTCCCTATTTGTTGATTTATTTTTATTTTTTTAAGGTCGGAAACAGTTTATTAATTGAATCATAAGTTTAATTACATGAGAATTAGTAAATTCATATGTGAACAAATAACCCATATATAATTGTGTCATTTAATTCATTTGAAGAAAAAGCACCAAGCTAATATCATTTTCTTGAAGTAAAAAATTTCAGTCATTTTTTTCTTTATCACAGCAGGGAACAAGTTTTAGTAGTTTTACAGAGTTGGAGTTGAAAGTCTCTGTAGCCAAATTATAAATATTTATTTTTCCAAAAGTAAATTAATTTCATGCAATAAAATTATTGAAAATCACCTTTTAATTGGCTACCCAAGCTTAAAAGCTGCAGAATGTATGTTAAGCTTCTACCAGAAAGTCTGGTAAATAGAACATTTGTATTATGTTTTCTTATTTTACATAACACATAAATTTTAAATAACAATTTTTTCAAACAAAAACAGCCATAGTTTTATTTAATAGTTTATTTTTGTATGTTTCTTTTACATCTTGTTCAAGGAATTTTGATTGTCATTTGTTCAACACTTGATTCCTTGAATTAATTACTCGGGGTAACCGAAGAACTGATGGTTTAATTAAAAATATTATATATTGTTTTATACCATTAAGTTTCATTCATTCTTTTTGTTTTGGTACTGGAGATGGAACCCAGGGGATTTTACTACTGAGTCCTTTTTATTTTTTGTTTTGGGACAGGGTCTCAGTTGCTGAGACTGGCCTTGAACTTGCATCCTCCTGCCTCAGCCTCCTGAGTCTCTGGGATTACAGGCAGGTGCCACTGCACACAGCTTAAATTATGTATTTATTGCTTTCAGTACTTGTGTTCATGATGACGTTGATGATTTCTTTTCGTGATCATGTCTTTATAGAAACAAAGAAAACCCCTACCTGCAACTGTGCTACCTGGCTGGCCTTGAATGCTTGGGCTCCAGTGATTCTCCTGCCTCAGTCTCCTAGGAAGCTGGGACTTCAGAGTGGGCCACTGGGCACCAGCTGAAGGGTTTAGAAGCTGGTCTTCAGAGTGTCGAGGGACAGTGTGGTCCAGGGCAAAGAGCTTGGGCTGAGGAGGCCAGGAAGACCTGCTTCCAGAATCTTGGGTTGTGGCCTCTTCCAGACACTTACATTCCCTATTTGTAACCTGAGAAGTAGGAAGTCAACCCTGGGACTGGGGGTGGGGCAAAGGCTGACCAGATGACCTTGAAAACAAGGGAAGTGGCCTGTGTACAAGGACCCCACTTTTAACTTTGACCTGAACCCACTGGTCTCCTGTCTCCAGGTGCCTGAGTGTCTCCAAGTTCTGTGGAGAGTCCCCTTTGGGAGTGTGCACTGACTCCCCTGCCTGAGTACTGGAGGCTGATTTTTGGCTCCCAAGCGTCTCCTGGAGTGGGCGTCCCTCAGCAAGCTCTGCGTGGGGGGATCTGAAGGGTGGCGCGGGTCTGCGCAGGAAGTGCTCTTAGAGTTCACCGAGTCCTCCCTCAAGCCTGATGCAGAGTCCTCCACAAGATTTTGGTCTCTCTGTGCTTTATTGTTGCTTGTAAGGACCTTCAACAGCGCAGTTCCCTCCAAGTGCGCTCATCACCTTTAACATGAAGGATGTGTTCACACTCCTCTCACCCTGAAAAATGAGGTTCCTCTTGATTCATGGAGGTTTATTTGCCTCCAACCTGACTTGCCTAGAGGCTAAGATTGTCATTCCCTGTCCTGTATTATCTTGTGTCCCTTTGTCACCTACCTCTGGCAGGTACTCTCTTGTCCTCAGTACCTGAGTGCTGGAGTGCAGATGGCAGAGCAGGTCTGGGGCTGGCTGCGTGGGGAGCAGTGCCCGCTGATGAGGAGGGCGTGGGCCGAGGGGATGGAAGCCTAGGTCAGGGCCTTGGCATGGACCTTTGTTAAAAGGAGGTGGAAGCAGATTGAGGCCCTGGCATCTGGGAGCCTGGGAGTATAGGGGGGTGATGGGCAGCTGCTGGGGTATGAAGGCAGCAGGTTGGTTCAGACCTCAGCTGTCCTCCCAGACTCTTGGAAGCCTGTATTGATACAAGCCAGCCTTGGGGGCAGAGCATGATTATTATTTATTTTTAAGAGGTAATAACAAGTGCTTCCTGCTAATACGAGGCCTAAAGCCCTTTAACAGGAGGTGAAACGTTTTATTCCATAGTTACTGACAACAATCCCAAG